TCAAGAAGGCTTTTCAAAGTCGAGGTTCTGAATTATGGCGCACACTGTATATTTCGTACGTTCGCCCACACTTAGATTTCGCAGTATAGGCCTGGTCACCGTTTTTAGCTCAAGACATTGCCAAACTTGAGCAAGTTCAATACCGAGCTACAAAACATATTGCCTCCCTTAAGCACCTTTTGTATGCTCAAAGACAATCAAGCCTTAACCTGACAACACTAACTGAACGACGAGACGGCCTGGTGTGCCGCTCTTTATCAAAAAAAAATTTGTAAATTTATTTTTGACCATGAATGTGTAAACTTTGTCTTTGTCTTTCTTCAATATATAATTTCTTAATTCACCAGAAATATAGATGTTTTGCATAAGCATGTTATCACATAAAAAAATAAAATATTATACAAGCATAAAGCATGTTATCAAGTAAAAAAAATTAAACATATAAAAGATGTAAAAGTTAATAAACTATTGTTTATTAACTTTTACATCTTTTATATGTTTAATTTTTTTTACTTGATAACAAGCTTTATGCTTGTATAATATTTTATTTTTTTATGTGATAACATGCTTATGTAAAACATCTATATTTCTGGTAAACTTGTTTTGGTTTTTGTTGTTGATGTTGTTAAAAACTAAATAAGATTGATATGTTGCGAACCGGAAAAATGTATGTTTTTAATCACAGAGAACAAGCGAGACAAAAAAAAATAACTTGCAATAAGGCGAGTTTTTACTGATGCGATTTTCTAGGGAAACGAGAATGAAAAAAGAAAAATAATTATGTGAGTATATATATATATATATATATATATATATATATATATATATATATATATATATATATATATATATATATATATATATATATATATATATATATATATACATATATATATATATATGTATATACATATATATATATATATATATATATATACATATATATATATATATATATATATATATATATATATATATATATATATATATATATATATATATATATATATATATATATATATATATATATATATATATATATATATATATATACATACATACATATATATAACGATATCTAAAATACAAACCCTAAAAGCTTGGTTATAAAGCTCAGTTGCTTGATTTTCTGTAATAGAATTTTCTTCTCGAAATTGATTGATTGAATTTCGAATGGAGCTAATTGCCTTCTTCAAACCTTCTGCTTCAGCTCTTAATTCATCTGCGCGAGCACGATTTAGGGCATCATCAATTACTCGTTTTAACATTTCTTCATGACTTTCTTCTGCTTCTGTTTATAAAAAAAAGATAATGGTAAAAAATTTTTACTAACAGTTTTCACCTTTGAACAACAAATTTTTTTTATTACTTATTTGATTATCTATAATTTACTCATTGAATATATTTTGATTTTATCGGTGGTTTGTAAACTGACGTTTATTTTTTGCATGAGTCTATGCGTTCCCATTCCATCAGAAATTGCAGTAATTAATATCAACTTTCTTGTAAATGGTTTAATGAATTTATTCTCTAACGATCTTCTTTTAAAGATATACAAAGAAGTGACAGATTGCACAATTATTTAAGTCATATTTTTAGTGCACACAAAAATATTAGATCAATAAATTTAAATTAATAAGCAATTAAAAGATAAAACAGTGTTCAATATAATTCTTAGTCGTAAAAATTAAAATGCTTACATTGTACAGTTTTTTTTTAACAAGAAATATATATTCTTATACTTTAATTAAACATTAATTAGAAAAAGTCAGAAAAAGTCAAAAAAATCACCCTCTAATCATTTTTCAACTTTCCTGTTATATAACTTAGTAAAATTGCAGAAAAAAAGCCAAAAACAAACAAATTTGATTCATAGAAGATATTCAAACTAATTTTTGAGCAAAGTTTGTTTTCTTTTTAGGTTCTTAATAAAAAAATCATGGTGAAAAGAAATGATATTCATGAATCAGTAAAAAAATTGATCCTGGGACACTATAAAAGTAAAAAAGGATATAAAACTATTTCTAAAATAGTAAATGTTAAGCCTAATAGTGTTGAAAATTATCATTAGAAAATATAAAAAAATGGGTACATAAAAATATTTCCTAGAAAAGGACGCCCAGCTAAGACTACCTTACGCATTAATAGAGAATTTATTCGAAAATTTGAACAAGATCGAGGACTATCTGCACCAAAGCTGGAAAAAGATTTGCAAACAGATCATGGTATAACTGTAAATCCTCAAACTGTTCGCAATCGCTCAAAAAAATCAAGGTTTTGTAGGTATAGTTGCTCTAAAAAACCATAAAATGGTTCTCCAAAAAACCATAAAATGGTTATCAAACTATCTAAATAATATATAACAATGTGTTATTATGGATCACATTAACAATTCAAAGCAGTTACAAATAAATTATGGGGTCCCTCAGTGATCTATTTTAGCTCCTCTTCTATTCCTAATCTACATTAACGACCTTCCTAAAGTCTCATCCAAATTAGA